AAAGTACATTGTGTTGTTAAAGAGGGCTTAACTTAATTGCTCATGGAAGAAACATTTATCTGGGTGGAGGTTGTTGCCTGACTTACACAGGCTTTCAGCCCCAAGGTTGTAATAAATGAGTGATTCTCTTAGCCTTAATCTATTTTTCATATGGTGGGATGACAGTCATCATATGAAATCATTTTTAAGTTTCCCAGAAGTGTGGAAAAACTAACCTAATCTTACTTTTATAAACTGTTTAAAGGGCAAAATTTTACTTTTAGTTTTAAAATAACTTTTAGAAGGAGCTACCATTCGCAAGGAATCCAATGGCTGAAAGTTGACAAAGATATGCAAGAGCTACTGCTGATGAGTAGAAGTCTGTTGTATTTCTGTCATGGTTATGGCAATGCCTCATTGGATAGCCAAATCTGATTCGGGGGTCATGATTATTGTTTCTCTGAAGACTGAATTTTTAAAAATTGAACAGAATGTCAAACTGAGCCTGATTTTTTTTTTTTTTTTTGGCTATAGTTTCTCAGATACGTGTTTTTAAAAAAATGCTCTGGGTATTTTTGGGGCTCAGAACGCCAAGGTTTAAGAATTGTAAGAAACGAGGGGCGCCTGGGTGGCTCAGTTGGTTAAGCGACTGCCTTCGGCTCAGGTCATGATCCTGGAGTCCCAGGATCGAGTCCCGCATCGGGCTCCCTGCTCGGCGGGGAGCCTGCTTCTCCCTCTAACCCTCCCCCCTCTCATGTACTCTCTCTCTCTCATTCTCGCTCTCTCAAATAAATAAATAAATCTTTAAAAAAAAAAAAAAGAATTGTAAGAAACGAGGCACGAGGCAGCGAAGTTGTTCTGTGGTTATGGAGTGGTTCTTACTGCAAAGCCCATTCTCAGTCTTCCTCATCAGTGTTTCTCACACTGTTTGCAGCCCAGGTTCTCCCAGAGGAGAATGAATCCTATCCAAGGTTAAGAAGATGGAGTTCAATGTAAGGCTTGACGTGGTCACTGCTGCACATTCTCATTCAAATTTTACACTTTTCCCCATATTATTCTTATGTTTGCTTTAATACACTTATTTATGTTCAATATATATGAAATATTATATATTCAATACATAAAATAAATCATAATAAATATAATTATAGATAATTATAATTATATGTAATAATTATCAATTAATAAAAATAAGAAATTAAACATTAAATATTATTTATTTCTTTATTTTAAACTTCTAGCACTCTTTATCCCCTCCTCTGCTTTATTTTTCTCTTTAACATTATTAAATCTGTGAAACCATGTAATTCATTTGTTTTCTTTGGTTATTGTCTACTTCCCTCCCCACTGAGGGTTATTTTGTTCACTGCTGCATACCAATCCCCAGAACAGAGCCTGGCACTTGGCCTATTGAAAGAATGATGGAATGTTTCATCTGATGATGTGTTAAATCAGACTGTCTGGAAGGTGTCTTCCTTATCCTATGACCGAGAGACATGCCTCATCCTTAGTGGGAAGCATCCTAGTTTGGGGAAGTAAAAATGTGTTATGTTTAGGGAACATGGGGGACAAAGCAGCAATGACTCCTCCCCATTTGCTTGGCACCTTGAGATATTTTTTGACTTCTGAGTCCACGAGCACAGGGCACCATGAGCTCACATCATGAGATAGTTCTTGATTCCTGATGAATTAGGTAATTTGATTTTACTTCCCATTAAATGTCCTCTTATGTCATGAGGTTGGTCTTCAGTGGCCTGCACAACGCTGCTTTCCTTGCCCATCTAGATCCTTCTCATCCCTCAAAGCCTAGATTGAGCCAAATTGCTTTTGCGACATTAGCCTGCACTTAATGGTCCCAATATTAAGGCCAATCTTTTTCTCCCATTCAGAGGGCAGTCTCTCGGGCCCAGTGGGGCCGGGGAATGGGTGTGTGCGAGCTCTGTGGAGGTACCCTGGGAGACAGAACAAGCTGATCTCAAAGCATATATAGCAGTTTTGAAAGAAAGTACAATGGTGTAAATTAGTACCTCTTCTACTAATCCACAAATACAACCACTGGCTCACTTAACTCTGTTTTTCTGCTCAGTTCTCAGGAAAACATTTACTTTCTTTCATCTACGGCAATTTCAGACACAAAAAGCTTTATCCTTGGCCTGACCATAGCCCCTTGGTAAGATGTAGTCTGGCTTTAAAAGCATTGTTCTTGCTAGTTATTGACAGTTCCGAGTTTACTAAAAAGAGAGCTACCCTGTTATTCTTTGAGAGTAACCCAAGCCTTTGTGTTTATAGACTGCTATCACTATATTTAATATAATGAGCTTTTATATAGACCTTCCTTGTGCTAGGCACTCTTCTAAGATGATTGCACACATTAACTCATTATCCTACAAAAGAAATTTATTATTAGGTAGGTGCTACTATTATCCCCACTTTACAGATGAGGAAACTGAGGCAGAGAGGGGTGGTGAGTAAAGGCATATAGCTGATAAGTTCTAGAGCCAGGATTCAAACCCAGACACTCTGGCTCCCGGGACCACTGGCTCCTCTAGCCCACTTGTCTCACAGCTTTGTTCCCTTCTATCACCCTGCCCATACCTGTCAGCCAAGTCCTTGCCCCTGATCTTTATTCTTCCTGGTCAGAGAAAGACCCTGCTGCCTCTCTCTAAAATCATCTCCCAACTACCAAGGTAAATTTCTTGCATTTGGGATGAAGCCACTTCAGTGACCCTTCTTTATTCTTTGGAAACACTCACTAATACTGATAAGTTCACTTCTTGGCTGGCCCCTGCTGTTCCATGCTTGGATCAAACACACCCATCTGTTAAAATGCTCAAACTATTTTCTCTCTCTGAATTCTTGAATAGAATAAGTCCAAATGAAAATTTCAACCAGGAAATGCTATAATCTAATTGGAGTTTGGGGAAGATGAGTCTGGTGGTGGTGTCTGCAGGGGGTTTAGGAGAGGTGCGTCGCTGAGAAACTGCGTGTAGAGAGTTCTGTTAGCAACTTTCACTTTTGAAGTCACAAAACACTGAAACACGTAGGAACTTTGGAAATGGAAAGGAAGGGTGGATGCAAGAGGCATTTCAGAAAGAACAGTGGATTGGACTTGTGGGCAACTGCCTCTAGGGATAAAGTAGAGAAGGAAGTTAAAATGATACCGCTATTTTGGGCCTGATTAAATGAGAGTATCATTACCTGAAATAGGTATATCAGGAAGCTAATCTGATTCAGGGAGAACAAAAAGTTCATTTTAGAATCTTTGTCATCATCCCAGTGGAAATGTTCAACAGTTGGAAGACACCATAAGTGAGCATCTAATGAGCTCCCTTCAAGTGTCTAAAAGGGCACCTGATGTTAAATCTCCTACAGTAATTACAGTGAAAGGAAGTTGAGGGTGAGGACATCTTTTACACTAGCCTCGTGGAGGCACCTGCCAGAGCATTTGGTGAGTTACATCCTCCTCAGACCTCAACTACAAAGATGGAATTTGGCGAATGATTTGTACGTAAAGAGTATGGCTTATTATATATCCTAATCCCAAACGGTAGCACCTGACTTTTCTTTATCATACCTAGAAATCCTCAGAAAGTGACAGTGTCATTAGTTATATGGTTATGTGCTTGATTTCCAGACTCTTACTTCATATTAGTTTTTAAAAAATAACAAACTCAGGCAATCTGGAACTCTTGCCCCAGTTTGTTTCTCCAAAGGCCTCGATAGTGCCAGTGGTCTACGGACTGGATGGTGAGAGTTGAAAGCTAGGAATGTAGCCCTTAATAATCAGGCACTTAAGGTAAACATGCAGACAGGAAAGCTCAAAGACTTAAGAGAGTTAGCACGTCGCCCAGAGAGCCCAATGGGCAGGGCCTAGAACGGTGCGGTCAAAGCGACTGAGAGATCAGCAGGCACTGTCATGAATCAGTATCTCGAAAACGCAAATGAGTCTGATGATTCGTATTAGGAAGTGGCCCCAAATCTCAGATTGATACACCTTCTCCTGTTTCACGTAAGGTCAAGAGTAGTCGCATGCACAGCAGAGACCATGAAAATGACTTGCGGGCAAATTTACTTCCTTCAAAGTCTGAGTTTGACCAAGAACCCTACTTCCAGCAAAGTCTTCCGTCCACCCAGCAGGAGGAATAATCTGCTGCGGGGTAGCGCTTGCCCCAGCGTCTGGGCCAAAGGCTGAGAAGCACCAGATTTGCGGAGGCTGAGGGTAGGGGAAATAAATCCAGTCCGGGTTTTGTCTGAACGGGGGGACCGGGGAGCTGCGAGGAATGGCTCGCGAAGAGGGGGGCGGTGGTGGAAAACACACAACACAAACAGCTCGCGCGGAGGGACGGCAGCTGTAGGCCAGCACCGCGCGGGCGCAGCGGGCCGGGAGAGGCGCGCGCGGGCCCG